ATAATAGTAATAGTAATACATTTGAAGAAGAGAATATGAAAGAAGGAAAATAATGGAATATGGAAACTTGGGATTAAAGATGGTCAAACCACCAAACTCGAGGGACCTTGGCTGGTATTAAGTCTTTTCGTATAAGTCAAATGACAATATTACCCTCTATTTTGACGGCTGAGACGGGAGGAAGTAACGGAAGGACGCTAGAAGGTAACTTTTGACAACTCGGAGGATGACGGATGGTAATTACGGAAGTTAGGGACCATTGATGGCGATGCCACCAAACTCGAGGGACCATAGGTGGTATTTATTGATATACTTTAAAATACTTATTTAAAAAAAAAATATTGGACATTATACCAATCGCACAATGCGCGCAAAAAACTAGTACTACTAATAATAAAAACAAAATCATACTTTTGCAACTTCCCACCCAAACTACCACTCAAGCTATTACTATATAAAATATAATAATTATGATGACAATTAAGCTAATAATAACACTATAAAATCTAATAATTATTACTTTATATCTTGCAAATTGTCTATTGTACTTTTGTTAAAAACTACTACATTTATATCAAATGATATAAAGTAGTATATACAAGGTTTAAAGTATTAATTAAATATACAATTATGTTACGAACCATTCTTATTAAATTCGACCCATCTCACCGGTTAAGACCTGTGAGACGGTGGCGAGCTATCGTAGGCTCCCAAATTAAGACAACACGTAGTAGTGAGAGTATTCGTTCCCACGATGCGTAACTAGTTTAATTTTTGTGCTTAAGAAAATGATAGGGATTTGAAATATAATGAGGATAGAAAATTAAATAAAAGGGAAATCGATGAAGAACAAGATATTGGAAGCACTCAGAATAGAAAACCTTGGTTAGTCAATATCCACCACCGGAATTTAGCACTGATTATTGATTCAAAAGGGTAATTAATATGCAATTGAATATTTATCGTGCAATTATTTTATTCATGTTTTCCTTAATTGTAAGTAACTAAAGCACACGCGATTTAATTATTACTGCGGGAAATTATCACTTTTCCGACCACTTTTCCGACCACTCATAAAAATGGTCTTAAAAAGTGAAAACTTTTCAATTTTCCGGCGAAGTATTGGACTGGACAAAAAAGGTCGGAATTTCCGACCAGATTCTACTTGGTGGTCGGATTTCTGACAACAAAGCAAGATGGTCGGAAATTTTTTCAGCTATTCAGATTTTTAAATTAGTATTCATTTCCGACCACAAAAAATTGTCGGAAATGCTCAAAGAAATTATTTATTGTACATATTGCTAGTTAGAGTTTGAGACTTAACCCTTAATCCCTCACTTCTCTTGCACAGTCGCCCGATTCATTTACCCTAAGGTTCACTCAGACCGTCCTCCTCTCTCTCTCTAATCATGTCGACACACTGTCTCTCTATCTCTCGCTTTAATACCCTCTTTTAGAGACTTGGTTACGGACATTACCGTCTCTAGATATCTCTCTCTATTACAATCTGTTCGAATCTTACTTACAACTATCAAAACCTCAATCATCTGGAAGATCCACTCAACAGAAGCTGATTTTTAAGTTCATAGGAAGGAAGGTATGTATTTTATATCTTGAATTTCAGTATTTTTCATCATATTTATGTGTAATCCCAGTGTTCATGTTTCTGAAAACCTAATAGAAATTTTAGATCGTTTTAATTGAAGTTCAATTACTTTTTTTTTTTAAAGTATTTTAAGTTTGATTAATAGTGCATGCAATTAATTCTTTGTCTGGGGCTTTTCTTCTCGTAGACCTAATCTCTAAATCAGTTTTTTGAGAGTGTTTTCATCCTTATATCTAGCATGATATATTAACCTGTTGATTGAATTTCTGTGTTCTGGTAAACAAAATAGCCTAAATAGATAAGTTTTTTGAGCTTTATTCTCCTATTCCTCTATTATGATTAGGGTTGTAATTGGCATTTGAATTTTAATGTCACAATATGTGTGTGCTTTATGAGTGTGTCAGTGGAACTGAAGAGTTTTTTCCTAAGTAATGATAGCTTGTGTCATTAAACATTGCACAGTCTGCTGCAAATGTATGTTCTATTAGTTTTAAGTTTTACAGACATTATTGAGTTATATCTGCTGACATACTCCTTTTCATACACTGCATACATTATAAAATTAATCTATCAGTATGTAGTTTTATTTTTGTTAAACTCATTTGGCATTTAAAATATGTTTTTTAACTTCTGAATGAGTTGTATTCATTAAAATTGATCAAGTTTAGATGCTCAAATCCAAAGTCTTGGTACAGTTTGTGATTTCAAAGCTTCTATTTAAAAAAAAATACATGAGTAGCATCATTTTTGCATTATAATTTGTCTGACTGAAAGGACTTTGGATATAAATTTGCAGGCACCAACATTATTTGAAGGCCCATGGGGATGCCCTTCCATCTACAGTAAGGGTATATTTAGTTTCAAAAAGATTAAGTTCATAATTTTAAAAATATGTTGTATTATTTGAACATGGGTTGGACTTAATGAAATAGCAATTAAACATTTGCAGGTCTCCCAAAAGTTGAAGGCTAATGAAAAAGTATAAGCTCCAATATGGCACTGCATTCAACTAATCTCACTGGAATGTATTACAATTGTCAGTATGGTACAAACTCTTATTCAAACATTTAGTTATCTATATTCTAGTGAACATATCTACCATCTGCCAACATTATGTAGATTCATACTGTGCCTTCAATCATCAATGTGTAAATATTCCATTGCATCTGCACCCTTTTGCCTAAGGTCCCTGAAAAAAAGACTAAAGAAAACTGCAACATAGATAATATAAATATTTCACATAGAAAGCAATGTAGAAATGATTAACATAATGCCCATAATGGCCAAAACATCATCCAAAATATAGTTTCAGTAGCCACTTAGGGCACAACCACAAGCAGGCATATTGTTTCAATTACAACCAAGAATTGAGATGTTGATAGTATAGATCAAAAACATCATTCAAAATATAGTTTTAGTAGACTTTAATTAATTACATGATTAATTCATTGAAATGTTGATAGTATCTCTATATATATTAAAGCAAAATAATAGGAGCAAAAAATTCCCGCCCAACCGGAACGACGACGTTTTGGACTAACACGCTAAATTTATTATTTTTGCTTCGGAAAACCAAAGGTCTACGCAGTATAATATCTACATGTATATATGAAACCTAATTTTTTCAAAATATCTACACAGATCATTCTCCCATCCAATGGGATTAGAGAATGTATTTAAGGTAATCAATTTGTTCATATGGGACATTGAGCCCACTAACCCATACCTATTCTCTAGGTATTTATTGCTGAGGATGATGATGATCAATAACGAAAGGTCATCAGACCTTATATATACAACACATATACAACTACTTAATACAATCGCAATCTCCCTCTACAATAGCCTCTCTGATTCCCCCACAGTAACAAAAAATGTTTGTCCTTGCTAGCCAGATATCTCCGATGAATACCAGGCAGGCTCTTAAGCTTCGGGTGGTGCGAGCATATAAGATCCCTGAAAGAAGTGATCCATCGAAGTTTAGATCAAAAGAGGTGGTTTTTCATGATGAAGAGGTAAGTATTCTTTAAAGATAGATATACACTTTTTTCAGTTATACAGTTCGTATTTTTACTACAAATTTAGATCCAGTACCTATTTTTGTACATTTTCCCAGATTTTACAGTCCCTATACACATACACAGGGGTCCTTCTTGCATGCTCATATACCCAAAGAGTATGTGGAGAAGTACCTTAGCAGTTTTGCTGAAGGTTCAGTGTGTGCTATAAAAAATTTTTGTGTTATCACCAATTTTTACTCATACAAAACCAGCCCACAGAAGTACATGATCAAATTTAACTATCAGACTGTTGTTAAGGATTTAAAGCATGTTAAATTTCCTATGAAAATGTATCGGCTGAAGACCTTTAGAGAGATCAAGTCTAATGAAGGCCTTGATGAGAAAATCTTATTTGGTAATCAGTATTCTCATTCAATCTATGGTTTGTAATTATTTACTATTCTGGATACTATTCTATATTCTAAATCATTATTTTGTAGATGTCATTGGTCGAGTGATCGAAATACACTGCCCACAGGATAAACTAATCAATGGCAAGAACTCCAGGCTGATTGACTTCACCATTGAAGATACTGAGTAATACTGATATACAGTACCTATGGTTTATTTTATATTTTACAGATTGCTGAGTTTCTAATATGTTTCTAATAATTTTCAGTGGAATACAACTAATGTGTACTTTGTGGGATGAACACGTAAGCAAGATTGAGGCATTCTACAATTCTACTACACAAGAGCCATTGTTGGTGTTGATACAGTTTTGTAGGGCAAGGGTGTGTCTAAAAAGTAAGTACAGTAAATCCTATAACTTCTCCTATCTCCTATCTTATTAACCAAGAAGCCTTTCTAATCTCTATATATAATGTTCTTTCCTAAAGGTGGTGATGTCAAGATTTGTAGCTCCTATGATGTAACACAGCTGCTATTCAACCAAGAATCTCCCCCATTTGAGGAGTTCAGGAAAAGGTACTTGCACTATTTTTTAGCCACATGAAGTTTTACATCTAATATGGATTCTGATTTTAGGTTATGTTTTTGCAGTATTAGCCAAGAATAGACTCCAATGCGCAGTATAATTTCCCAGTCAAGTTTTAAAGAATGTAGCTCATATTCTGTTTCCCTATCTGCTGATATGGAAGTTCGTACTATCAATGACATCTACAGAGACAAGGAGGTAAGACTGTTTTTAAGGAATATAGATCCTATTCATTTTCCCCAAGAATATTAAATAAACAACAAATGATTACCTCAACCTAAACATTATACCAAACAATTCCTTTAATGTTTAGATTTTATAGCTGGCATTATGCACTTAAAAATATACCTCTATGTCTTTACTTTAGATTTTATAGCTGGCATATAATAGTCATGAGATGGAAATATATTATAGTTGTGTTAACCTGTATACAGTTGTGTTATTGACTCAATGTGTTAATTAAAATTATACCTCTATGGTGCATCAGGATTGCAATCCATTTTTTCACTTCTGCTAAAAGCATGCACACTATATCCCACTTCTTGGCTGCTTAACCTGTATTAGTCATTTGTAATTAGATGGAAAATTGCGTATGGTTGTGTTAACCTGTATACAGTTGTGTATTAACTCAATCAGGATGTTAAAACAATACCTCTATGATATATCATGATTGCAATCAGCCTTTCAGTTCTGCTCAAAGCTGCACACTAGATCCAATTTCTTGGCTTTTTAACCTGTATTAGCTAATAAGTATTAGATGGAATAATAGTAACACAAATGTGGTTGTGTGATGCATATAATTAATGCATAAATATTAACACAAATGTGATTGCAAAGTGTCAGTCCACCACTGTGTACTTATCTCTTTCAGGTCTGGTGTTAATTGTTTTGGTAGCAAATACCACATCTTTATCCATAAACCTCCACAATCAAACATGTTGCTTTCAAAGTGTCAGTCCACCAATGTGTACTTATCTCTTTCAGGTCTGGTGTTTGTCCACAAACCTGCACAATCAAACACATATTGATGGTTTAATTAATGTTAGAGACAAAATTGTGTGGATATTTGTACTAAATAAATAATCACACATATACTGATTTGGTCTATGTTATAAAGTCTGTTAACAGTCTATCATATGATGCAGTTTGGCGATTTTTGGGTGGCAGCAAGGATTGTATTCATTGATGATCCAGAGTGGTACTATGCTTCCTGTAGAACAAAGGGGTGCAACAAAAAACTTAAACTCAAAGGAAAGTGGCTATGGTGTAGTACATGTGACAGAAATTGGGGTGACGGGACACTCAGGTACAGAATTAAGGTTAGGGTTGTGGACTTGGATGGCAATGCTCCTTTCCTTCTATGGGACAGGGAGTGCCTCGATCTACTTGGAATTACCGCGGATGATCTGAAGGATACCCATACTAAGGTACAAAACTATATTTCAATCTTACCTAGACTATTAACTTATTTAGTACCTAAACCACATAAGTTGTGGTTTCAAATACTGATTCACATATGGTATATAGGAAAATTAAAATCTATAGTAAATTTTTATGTAGGGAAGGAAGGGTCTACCTAAGGAGCTCGAGAGTCTAATTGGACTGAATATTCTATTTCGAATTGCTGTCGCAAAGAACAGTTCCAGAATTATCTCAATGCTTTCCCTGTTATGAGGATCATCACTGACGAAAAGATTGTAGAAAAGCATTGCCCAGAACTAATAGGAGTAAGGGACAGGGATCTCAGTTCAAAGTTGGAGTTGGAGCTTACAGATGAGGACCTATGGGATCTAGAGGTATACTTGGTATAGCGAGTAACATGTTGTACCAATTAGTTTATAGTTTATTATTATTGGTCACTTAAACATTTTGATCTACTGTTTTTGTAGGAAGCAGACCAAGCAAATGAAGCTGAGAGTCCACTCCAAGTTGTTGCACAGAGACTCAATGCAGAGAATAGTGTTGAGAATGGAACAGTCAAGAGATCACTAATCGATGAATTTTCAAGCACACAAAGTTCAAAAAAAAGCAAGGAATGTGTGGTCAAGATTGAGAAGGAAGCAGAGTTGTAATGATTTTAATGATTGACAATGTGCTCTATTGGTGTCTGTTTTTTAACAATGGTTTTTTTGGTGACATTTTGGTGACTCACTCAAACAGCTAGACTGAAACTTTTAATCATTTTGGATTATTTGGATTATATTAGTAGTTTATTGTTTTCTGTTGAATTCTCAGGATTTGTTCCTAGGAGCTGTTAGACACTGGATTTTTTTATATTCCTTTTGCAGGTTTTTTTTTTCAGGTAGTGTGGCACAATGATGGAAAATGAATGCAGATGTATGGTAAAAGGAGTCAAGAGATGGCTAACATGGCAGAAAAAAATGAAGAAGATGGCAGAGGTATCACTAAAAGTGGAAACTGATGGCACAGTAATCATTTGGAGATACAGATAGCCTCTAGCAAACAATCCATCAATTTGTGTTTGTAGTGAAATGTAATACAGGCAAAGGACTACTTTTTAGATGCACAACATTATTGTAGTTAAGTGTAATGTCATTTCTAAATGTAAAATATTATTCCAACTTTTCAAAGCTCCAGCTAATAATTCTTATACTCCTTTTTGACCCATAATTAACAATTGACTTACATTAAATACTAACAGCAAATCAAGTCATTGTCATCCTAAATTAACACCACTAAAAATGTAAACAGAATATCAAATTTAAATAGTGTATAAAAACCATTAAAAGTAATATTGTACTCTAACTTGAAAATTTGAATGTAGTATTAAAACAATACAGTTGCAACACTTGCTGACTATGCAACACCTTTAGAAGTTTTAGAATTTAAAAGTAATTAAAATAGTTTTAAAATTAAGTAATTCAACACCCTGTGGTAATGAATATATAGATTTTATTACAAGTATGCATGTATTGCAATCTTATAGGAACTTACCAGCCTCTGTCATCTTAAAACTCAGTTCAACGTCTTTTGAAGTGAACTTCTATGTCTTTTATGCATGTCCTTTTAAGTGATCTGCCAGGTGCTCTTAACTGAACTGTCAGGGTCCTTTATGCAACATTTTCTTTATAGCAGCCTACCTGCAGTTTAACAAAAAAGTTATTGATTAACTAATATTAATGGCAGCCACATCGTAATCAATTTCTAACGCATGGATTAAGTTCCCAAAGTTCATTATGGACTAAGTAATGAATAGTGAATTACGCTTGAATTAACCAACTTTAGTATTAGGAAGCCTCCTAAAATTAGGTTAGTTGCGGATCACGTGGTGCAGCAGCTTACCTGCAGTGACCAAATAGGGAATTAAAGAGATAACTCATTATATATCACAATCTAATTTAGTAACAATGAAAGGATATTATTGTTGTTAATCACATTATATTTGGCATTTCAACAATATTACAACTTATCTTTTTGAGCCGTGCTTAGTAACTGTTTGGCCAATAGTCTTGACCGCTTCTTTGTGATTAGGAAGACAACTCAAAGAATTAGAGTTGAATACAGATTGTGTATATCAGACCTGCAATTGTAGAATTTCAATTCACCGAATTAAATGTTATAAACATCATCTAATGTAAGAACACTGAAAGAATATTATACTCAACGTAAAGAACATTATATTAGAGGATTTGATAAATGTACAACTTATCTTTTTTGCCCACGCGTAACAACCTCTTTAGTACAATTCCCATTATGTGCTAAAAACATATCACAGCATCTATACATTCTGTGCTCTATTCCACTCAGTGTCATGCAGTTAATAGTTGCTTTTGATGTGAAACACTAACCAACTGATTGTCATCAAAATATAACTCCCTGACATTAGAGCACCAAACTGTTTGTTACCTGGAAAACAACATATATTAAAAAAAAATTTTAAAATTTAATTCCCTGATGGATAATAAACATTATTAGCATCCAAACAAATTTTGTGAATTCCACTTGGACAATGAAAAAAAAAAATAGTCAGAATACCAATGAGCTAATATATTGATGGCACATTGCATTAAGTAGCTGATCAAAACCTTTTAGTATTCCAAAAGCAATTAGGATTGCCATTTTCCAATGTTGTCTCCAAATATTAATTGACCAGTTTAGACCTATATATTCAACAATTAGATATTATTAACCTCTGTTGAGCACCACAACTACACAAATCCTATACTGGGCATAGCATCTCACCTAGAGTACATGAGGAAACTTACTTCTTCAACCGCAATTGGGTCGAAGCGCAAGCATCCCAGCAACAACGCAGGTAAATCTATTGGCTTCTCTCTTTATTATAGTGTTCTGTCTTAGTTTATACTTTGATTATACGATTTTTTTTTAACTCTACTAAAAAGACTAGAAACGATCCCAACCAATATTAATGGATTGTACAAAATATCAAAATACAAGATTAATCGCACAAAAAAAAAGTCATTAGAGAGATTTCCAGGTTAACAAAATCGAGATGCATGTCTACCATATTACGAAGAGATTTACAAATATAGTATATAAACGACACTTTGATCTGAAATATTAGAACAGTTAGGGTTAGAAATCAAAACCCAATTTTTGAAGTGATTGTCCACATCGTGTGTTTGAACAGACGATTCTCCGAAATGTTTGACCACCTGATAACATCGCACACCATTCTGTTCACCTGGGAGATCCGTGGCTACGCATGCACTCCGGCGAACATTAGGTTCACCGGATTCAACTATAATCCACGATTGACACTAGGAAAACTCCGATTTAATGCTTTTACACTACTAGGAAGACTCAGAGTGGTAGTAATTTAGAAAGGTTTGGGGTTTGAATGCTTCACAGTACCATCTTCTTCATCGTCCATGCATAGCCAAGCAATAGGAAACGACCCTAGAGAAACGATTAATAGCTTAATCGAGTCTCACAATTGAACCCTAAACCCTGAATCATTCCCATTTTTACAGAGAGAAACCACCGTACTTCACCGTCGATGTAGGGTCACGACGGAGTGGAGTAGTATATTAGTAAAGTTACTCGGCGGCGAAATGGGTGTGATTGCCAAAACAGAGACCAAACACATACTTTATAATAATAATAATAATAATAATAATAATAATAATAATTATTATTATTATTATTATTATTATTATTATTATTATCATATAATAATAGTGTTTAAACATCCCAGATTATTACTAATCTTAATATCTCTTATATATTATTACTAATCTTAATAATTATATTATTATTAATAATATGATTACCATTTTTATGTTTAGTCTTTTTATAATAATTATTATAATATTATAATTATAATTGATTGAATAACATTAATCCTCATCTTTAATATTGTTATACTAATTTGTTATTATAAGAAATTTGTTAACATAAAATGTTTATAACATTACACGTTTAAAGGTTATTATATTGTATAAATTAGTATTATTGTGAAATAGTAATTATTATTATTAGTTGAATAATAATACTTTAAAATCATGATTAGGAATAGAATCATTCCGTATGTATCCAAAAAAGTTAGGTACCAAACATATCATGTATGGTTATATATTATTGTTTTATTCCTTTACAGAGAATGAGAATCGTACAGTCATGGATGCATCGTACATGTCCACCTGATAGGCATATTTTACACTCATATTTTAGGTACATCTTTATAATAATTTTGCATTAATTATTTACTATTATATATTAATTATTCCATTTTAGAATTTAATATATAATATATAATATATAATATATAGAATATATATTACGTACTATCTAAAATATATATATATATATATATATATATATATATATATATATATATATATATATATATATATATTTATTTATTTATTTATTTATTTATTATGTACTAGTTTACAGTTTATACATATATATGCGTTATATATATTTTTTAGTATTTATATATTTATTATTTTAGTATTAGTTTATTCCACTCCCTAATTTCTTAGCATGCAACGAAATATTGAACCTTATATTTTATTTGCTTTGTACATGGCGTGTGCAAAGAGGAGTCGTCAACATTGTGCGAAGATTGCGGCAAGACTGAGCAAGATCCATTCGTACGGCGCAAAAATAGGAATGAATTGAATGGTAGAATTCTATTTTGAGAATACTATAAATAGAATAAGCTTTCTATTGTAAAATGTTCATTCTTCCCTCCTCTATAGTATTCGTTGAAGTTGTTATCAATGTTCATTTGTGGCTAATTTCTAGTTGGTTTAGTAAATTGAAGCCCCGGAGTTCATAACGCTGTAAGGTTATTTATTTAACTTTATTATATATATGTTTTTATGCATTTTGGGTATTAAATATTCTTCTAAGTTATTTGAATAGTTGTATCATTTAATTGCTAGGGAGGCCTACTAGTTATTTACTTGATATAATTATTTGCTATATTAGATAATGTTGTGCTACAAATTATTCTAATATTCAGTAGCAACTAGGTTAATTATTGACGGCTTAGTGATAATTGGACTCGGGAAGAATATTTTCCTAAATTAAATGCAACCGCTTGTGCTTGTGTTATTTAGTTTGTCGGTTTTCCTAGTTCCTATTGCTGCTATTAAATTAAATCTATAGCGCTTGTCTTAGGTTATTTAGTAGTTAGGGGTAATTAAACCGCTTGTGCTTTATTTACCTACAACTAAGGGAAAACAGAAATGAAATAATTTCACGACAAATATTCAATTGCATATTAATTACTTTATTAATCAATGATCAGTGTTGAATTCCGGTGGTGGATCTTTACTAACCAAGGTTTCTTATTATAAGTGTTTTCGATATATTATTTTCATTGCTTTATTCGTTCAATTAAATTTCTTGTTTATTTAAATTCTCTTTTATTTTATCTTTATTCTCGATATATTCCAAACCCCCCTACCTTTAATTTGAGCACAAAAGTTAAACTAGTTACTCCTCGTGGGATCGATCCTTACTCCCGCTACTACGTTTGTAAGGTTTTAATTTGGGAGCCTACGACAGCTCACCACCTCCATTGAATGCAACAACAATACACACAATCGTACACCACTACGTGTTGTTTTCCAAAGTTCGCTAAGTACGCCCTTAAGTATTGTGACAAATGGTAAGTGTGTTTTATATGATAGTTAAATTATCTAATTATTTGTTGCTAACCATATTTTGGATATGAAATTCACAGCTTCGACCGCAATTCGTACGACAATTCGGAATTCGCCTTTGCAAGATTTAGGTAGCAGAATACCATTAAGCAACATATCCAACAGTACGACCTTGAACAATCATTTTTAACGTCTATAAAAAATTTTGAAGTTAACACCCTAACAAGTTATTTGTACTGCTCTTATATAATTAAAGAAAATATCGCGCGGGTTGAGGGGGACCGTGAAAAAACACCTATTACGAAGCGCCGCAATCATTCGATCGACTTAAATAGAACCCCAGATTCACAACTAGGTATCCAAATTTCCAATCCATCAATGTATTTATTTCTTATACAAACTACACATTCTAATTACGTATTCGGTAGCCAGTTATAATTTCATATTGGTTAATAATAATCTTGGTTGTTGAAATGCACAGTATCTTCTCCATTACGGATGACCATAAATACTACACCAACGCAAGAATTGAGTAGCATGATGCCATTTAGCAACATATCGAATGGTATAAACTTCAACAAATATATTGTAATTATATTATATATATAGTAAAATTAATATTTATTGTTCTAACTAATCTTATTAAAAAATATTTTTTATTAAAGCAAGTTGCGGTCAAGTCAATTTGAACCGCAGCAACCCACCTAAAGCTGACCGTCCAAGTATCTGCTTCGACTTAAATTTATCGCCAGAGTCGCAGATAGGTATAAACATATATTCAAGAAGAGGTTTTTAATTTGCATGCATTTATTATTATTCAATTAATATATAACCAAATTAAGTACAATTGGATATTGTTTTTTTAGGTATGGGAAGTAATTGTTGCATTACAAATGACAATAATATGAAAAGAGTCCTGGTAGAGCCAGAGAGTGAAACTTTCGATCAGTACCGCAATTTGTTACCCGATTTTCAGGAAGTTGTTGAACCGTTAGACCACAATATGCCATCAGTTAATGGTGAGTTCAAATGAAATCTGGCAGGACAAAAACGTATTATATTTGCACTACAGTAAAATACATTATCATGCTAACTAATATATATATATATATATATATTTTAGATTTTTATTTCGATCTAGGTGATCCAGAGTATCTTTGCGAGCATTGTAATTCAATTTTTTGGTACAATGAACGGTCAAGCAATTCAAAGTCATGTGAAAGTCCAAAATACTCTGCGTGTTGTGTAAATGGTAAAATAAAGTTGCCTTTTATGACAAAGCCTCCTCAAAAGCTGTATGGCTTATTCTTTGCATCAAATGATAAAAACAAATGTTTTTTAAAGAATATAAGGTCATATAATAGCATGTTTTGCTTTACGTCGATGGGAGGAAAAATAGATAGAACTATTAACAACGGAACATCGCCGCCGATCTTCCGTATCAATGGTCAAAATTTTCACCGGATTGGAAGCTTATTACCTTCACATGGCATTCAACCGAAATTTGCCCAATTATACATTCACGATACAGAGAATGAGATAGAAAATCGCTTAAAATCTTTGAGGTATACTCTTTTGTGTTACTGCAAAATTTTTGGTATAGCATGGATTAATACAAAGTATCTTATATTATTTATTCTTCCTTTTTTAGTGCCGAAAACAATGGTTCTGCGTTGCATAGTGAGGTAGTACATGACATTAAGCAAGTTCTAGATGAACACAACGTGTTGGTTAAGTCATTCCGAATGGCCAAGTCGTTTCTGGAGTCTAATCCTCAAAGTCAAATCTGAATGAGATTAATAGGAAAGAGGACTAAAGATGCCAGGACTTATGCGTTACCAACTACTTCCGAGGTTGCTGCACTCATTGTTGGAGATATAGACCCTTACATGGGTCAACGGGATATTGTTGTCGAGTGTAGGTCTGGAGCACTGAAACGAATAAATGAATTAAACCCGGCCTATTTACCATTGCAATACCCAATCTTATTTCCATATGGGGAGGATGGTTTTCGAGAAATACTTTTTGCAACACTCGGTACAAAACGAGATTTTTCAAGAAAGAGTGTTTCACAAAGAGAGTACTTCGCGTTCCGTATACACGAAAGATCAAATGAGATCTCAACAATAATGTATGCCAGAAGGTTATTCTAAAAATTCTTGGTTGATGCTTATACTATGGTTGAATCTTCGAGGTTGCTCTATATTAGGTCAAATCAAAAAGCACTGAGGTGTGAGGCGTACAAAGGTTTGTCTGATGCGTTGACTCGCGGTGAAGTTCAGCCCAGTTCTCAAGGTAAAAGAATAATATTACCATCAAGTTTCACCGGAAGAGCAAGATACATGATACAGAACTATCAAGACGCCATGGCAATTTGCAGATTCATAGGTTATCCAAATCTGTTTATTACTTTTACATGTAATCCTAAATGGCCAGAGATACAACGATTCTTGGAGAAAAGAAACTTGAAAGCTGAAGATCGTCCCGACATTGTCTGTCGTGTTTTCAAACTGAAGCTAGACTGTTTAATTAAAGAAATAAAGAATGGAAAACTATTTGGTCGGGTAAAGGCAGGTGCGTACTGCATGAGCTTATAATTGTCTTTTTTTAGCATAATAATTATTAGTATTGTTATAATACTTCTATATAACAATATGAATGCTTTTCTGACAGTAATATACACAATTGAATTTCAAAAACGTGGTCTGCCGCATGCGCATATATTATTGTTCCTACAAGCGACCAACGACTTTGCCAACCCGGCTTTTATGGACACGATCATTTCAGCCGAGATTCCCGACAAGCGTTCAGACATTGAGTATTACAAAGCTGTCGAAGAATTCATGCTCCACGGCCCATGCGGTGCTGCAAGGACTAAATCCCCGTGCATGGCAAATGGCAAGTGTACAAAGCATTTTCCAAAAAGATACATTGATGCATCACATTTTGACCAAGATGGTTACCCGTTGTATCGAAGAAGGGATGATAAGAGGACAATAAAAAAGAATGGAATAGAGTTGGATAATAGATATGTTGTACCACATAATAGGTACTTGCTTTTGAAATACAAATCTCACATTAATGTAGAGTGGTGTAACCAATCTAGGTCAATCAAGTACCTCTTCAATTACGTAAACAAGGGCAATGACCGTGTAACTGCTGAGTTTTATAAGACTTCGATGGACGAAGCGGGTAATGAGATTGTGGATGAGATAAACATGTACTATGATTGCAGATACGTATCTGCATGCGAAGCAGCCTGGAGATTGTTTAGTTTAGAATTCCAGTATAGGACACCCCCGGTTGAGCGATTAAGCTTCCACTTGCCGGATTGCCAATCAGTTGTTTTCCAAGACGATGATAGCATTGATAATGTACTAAATAGAGAAACCGTTGGTCAAAGTATGTTTAATGCATGGTTTTTAGCCAACCAGAATTTCAAAGAAGCGAGTTTGTTGAATTACATTGAGATGCCTACCAAATTTGTTTGGAAAAAAGACATCCGTGAATGGCATCCAAGAAAGACAAATAGATCCTCAATTGGTCGAATATTCTATGTACCTCCAGCTTCAGGTGAAATATATTATTTGAGATGTCTACTGAACATAGTCCGTGGTCCAAAAAGTTTCAAAGATATCAGAACAGTTAACGGTGTTGAGTACTTGACCTTTAGAGATGCGTGTTATGCGCAGGGACTGCTAGACGACGATAAAGAGTACGTTGATGCTATAAATCAGGCAAGCTACTGGTCAACTACATACTCATTGAGGAAGCTATTTGTTGTTTTACTAACATCATCCTCAATTATTAGACCCGAAAATGTTTGGAATCAAGTTTGGGAACATCTGTGTGAAGATGCTCAACACTATCAAAGAAGAATATTAAAACAACAAGGTAAGATTTTTTTTTTTACAATATACTCTTCAGGAATTTTGTTATGTTATAAGTATAACAATTTGGTTGTTGCTATTGTAACAGATTTGGTCTTAACAGAGGAAGAGAAAAAGAACTTTGGATTATTGGAATTGGAAAACCTGTTGGGGCAACAGAACAAGTCTTTAAAAGACTTTCCTCCGATGCCCACGCCAAGTACCGATAATACAAGGTTGTTTCAAAATCGATTGGTGTTTGAAGAACTGAATTACAATTCAGAACAATTGAAGACAGATTCTGAAAAGATGTGTTGCAAACTAACAGAAGAACAAAGTCTCATTTTTTATACTATTATGCAAGATATTGCAACCAATAAAGGTGGATTATTTTTTGTATATGGATACGGTGGGACAGGAAAGACTTTTTTATGGAGAGCGTTGTCCGCTTCAGTTCGGTGCAAAGGACAGATCGTTTCAAATGTCGCATCAAGTGGCATAGCTTCTTTGTTGTTACCAGGTGGCCGAACAGCCCACTCTAGATTTGCAATACCTATTGCAATAAATGAGGACTCTACGTGTAACATTAAACAGGGTAGCGACTTGGCTGAATTGTTGATAAAAACGAGTTTGATAATTTGGCACGAAGCTCCAATGATGCACAAACATTGCTTTGAAGCGTTAGATCGAACCATGAGAGATTTATTGCGCTTTGTTGACCCTAACAGTGAAATGAAGGCGTTTGGTGGTAAAACAGTGGTACTCGGTGGAGATTTCTGCCAAATTCTGCCAGTAGTTCCAAAAGGTACACGTCAAGACATTGTTTCGTCCGCTATAAATGCATCATATTTATGGGATAGTTGCAAAGTTTTGAGATTGACGAAAAACCTAAGGCTAAGTTCGGTTAACAATGGTGTGAACCGGCAGGCATTAACAGAGTTTGCTAACTGGATTGCCAATATCGGCGATGGGAAGCTGGGTGGCAGGAATGACGGATTCGCAGAAGTCCAAATACCGAACCACATGTTAGTATCATCCGGGGCGACGACATTAAAGCAATTGTGGAAAGTACATTTCCAATGTTTGCAGTTGGAAACACTGACCCCGAGCATCTGATAGGTCGTGCTATACTTGCACCAACGCTGGACGTAGTCAACGCAGTAAATGAATATATGACTGAGCTGCATGATGCCGAAAATAGGATCTACTATAGTTCAGACGCAGTATGCAAAACCGACGGTGATAATGGCATACTTGGAGATGTACACACCCCGGAATTCCTAAACAGCATCCGTGTGTCGGGTCTACCAAATCATACATTGAATTTGAAAATTGGGTCACCAGTAATGCTAATGAGAAATATTGACCATTCTCTTGGGTTGTGCAATGGAACTCGGTTGATAATCACAAAGTTAGCAGACCATGTTATTGAAGGCGAGCTTCTCACTGGCCCCAACAAAGGTACAAAAGTGTTAATACCCCGAATGTCAATGTCATCCTCGGATCCAAGATTGCCGTTCAAGTTTCAACGAAGGCAATTCCCGTTGATGCTTTCATATGCGATGACAATAAACAAAAGTCAAGGCCAAACGTTGAGTCATGTAGGGTTAATACTAAAGAAACCGGTTTTTGTACACGGTCAGTTGTACGTAGCTGCATCTCGCGTTAATAATCCAGATGGTTTGAAAATACTGATTGTAAATGACTCAAGTGCAACTACTACATCAACCACTAATGTTGTATATCATGAAGTTTTCAATAATTTGTAATTTTGTAATGTATTGTTTTTATATTACCAACACCTTGCAACTATTAATAAGACACAATTTGACTACGTTGTGGCACTGTATTACCCAATATATCACACAAATCTTAACATAAAATACACACAACTAAAAATGCTTAAATAACATCCCGTGCATCGCACGGGTCAAATACTAGTAGATCAAAAGTCAAAACTATTGTAATAAACTGTTTTTTTTTTCCATAAATGCCTGTTTTATTCCTCATTGCTTGCTTAGAGAAATATTGAGTATCTAATTACATATGCTTTGGGATTTCTAAGACCCTTTAAATGTAGCTTTAATGCTAAGAATCCATTGATCTCTGTAATAGGTAGTCGAGTATTGGAGCTCAAAGGTTATTTCAATAATTGAAAGCCATACAATATTCAATATTAATAGGCTGATAGTGCCAATACTTGAAATGAATTCATTATAATATTTGTATTTGCAATTTAAACTTCATGGTTGATCTTATCAGATGTGTGTGTTTATTTTTAATACATATTTACAGGGTGGAGGAGTTGTTGCCGAGAAGGCTTCCATTCCAGGACCAAGGCTAATTCGCTCTATTGAGCTTGAGTAATATTTCTCACTTAATTTTCTTCGTTTGGTGGATTAACAGTTCAAAACTTGAGCAGGTTTATGCGATAGACTTTGGCCTTGCTAAAAAGTATAAGGATCTCCAGACTCATAAGCATATACCATACAGGTCTGATGCTATATTACTCTTTAATGCTAATGATCAGAAATTGCAGAATTTGAGTCTAAGCAGACGTTGTTTGTTGATACTCTAGGAAAGATGGGACACAGGTTGTTGAGTCTAAGCAGAAAAAAGTATAAGGATCTCCAGACTCATAAGCATATACCATACCGTCTTATCTCCACATGTCATCAATTTGACTATGTTTTTTATTAGACAATTTTGAAATATCCTCAGATTGGCGCCAGTTCCAGAGGGCGAGTTGGTGCTCATAAATTTTTTCCTGTAATTGTTTCCCAAGTTCCGCCGCCCTTCCTCCGCCGACGAAGACTGCCGACAGTGCCTACCTAATTTTAGTCAGGCAATGCGATCTTTTGTTGATTTTCACTTTCTCTTGGATCTTGCCAAAGAGTTCATGAGCTGGAACTTACTAGGTCATTTGAGATTATGAACTAAAGGTTCGTGTTAATAACTTGTTGGTAAATTCAGAACAGGAGATTAATTTCTATCAAATGCAAGTCTTGTAACTTGGTGATAGACAGGGGTATTGGTGTATTTGTTTATACTTTTAGATGAGCTTCAATTTCTAAGGTATAGGCTGTTGGATTGCAGAGTTTGAGAAATTATTCTAATAATTGAAATTAGTTCATCTGAAGTGGCAATAATGATTTTGTTACTTCTATTTATGATATCTACTGATAAGATGCTGGGAAGTGATTTTTTTTTTTTTTTTTTTTTTTTTTGCAAAATGTAAATAGCTATGTTATTGAGTAGTAATGTCTCTAGGTTTCTTAGCTGTTACATATAAAATATAATGAATTTTTCAGACTACTTTAAGAATGTTGCAGATTGTGATAATAAATGATTTGTTGCCAGTTTATTGTGTGAGTTTGCTCATGATGGTTGCTGGTGGTTTAATTTTGTATTGCAAGCCCAACTATCCTCCTTTTTCAGGAAAATGTTGGAAGTATCCTTTTCTTGTTATTTTGGGCGATGTTTGTTGTTTTCAAATTTCTTATCATTACTTAGGTACACTTGGTTTAGCCTTAACTAGTCAACTTCAGATATTGTCCATCGTCTTGAAATGGTCCGGATATTGTTACAACGATTGAACTGCAATGTTTTTATGCTTTCATACTGAGGGTATGCTAATTATTGAATTTACCCCCTGTAGTTTGCCTTAGCAATAACTTTTTGATGCATAATAAGCTTGTTTTTTCTTGTAAACAGATATGGTGCCAGTGATGGATACCTTTCTCAACATGGAATAACAAAGGACGCTCAGGTTTTGTATGCTCCCAGAATTTCGTCTCACCGTTTTTCAAGCATATCATTCAGTTTGAGTTCTAATCTATGTTGTTGTCTTCCATATAGGCAGCATTAGATCATCTGGTTCAGAGGACAGATATTGATACATCAAGAATAGTTGTGTTTGGAAGGTCACTAGGTGGAGCAGTTGGAGCTGTGCTTACTAAAAATAATCCTGATAAGGTATCATTAATTCTAATGAATTTGTGTTTATTTTATTTATATAAAAATATGCATGGTACCTGATGTAGTTATTTATTTCTAAGTCTTGTATGTTGCTTATTCCTTTACTATGAATATGTGCCATCTGGTAATTGGCTAAGCACATGTAACCTTGGAGATCTACGATCATTATTGAATTTGCTTTCACCTTCTTCTTCTTCTTGTAGTGGTTTAAATGATATTCTGTTTCTCTGTTTTACAATATACTGATGCAAATCCATCTTTAACACATGTGTTCCATGGTTTCTCCCCTACTTAAGATCATGCAAAGGCTCATTCGAAATCTCTAAACTTGGGTAAGGATCTCTACTTTGTGATGGCTTATTTGTTTCAGGAGGCAGTTTTTTCATTGTAAGTTTTTCTCTTAAATGTATTTATGATTTTTTATTTGATAGAACCAACATGAGGCAAACTTTATGGATTTTATACTAATGTGAAATAATGAGCTTGGTGGCTAGATAAACTTCACTAAATATTTTGTATTATAAGTTGACTTTATGGATTTTATACTAATGTGAAATAATGAGCTTGGTGGCTAGATAAACTTCACTAAATATTTTGTATTATAAGTTTTTGGTGTAATATTTGTATTTGCATAAAATGTGAGGTTCAGTATGCTATAAGCATGAATATGTCTATTAGACTATTACTTTCGTTTTATATGTTTTTCTAATTTGGCAGTTGCTGCTGCATTGGCTTATGAAGCTGGTTGCAGGCCACAATTTTTTTTTTTAAATTTTATTTATGTAGTATTAAATTACTTTCCGACCACCCAGCGGTCGGAATTTATTTTTTTAACTAACTAAATAACTTTCCGACCACTTGGTATTTGGAAAATACACGACATCATTCCCAGTGAACGACCAATTTTTTCGACAACGTTAATAAAGTGGATGGTATTTTCGATCACTTGATGTGGTGGTCGAAAATACTGAGGGGGATTTTTTCGAATCCCCAAAGTGGTCGGAAAATTGGTCGAAACAAGGGTTTCTGATCGAATTTTGGCATTTTTCGACCACTTTTTGGAGGTTGAAAAAACGCTAATTTCCAGCTACTAAATAATCTAAGACAAACGTTATAGATTTAATTTAATAGCCGCAATAGAAACTAGGAAAACTGACAAACTAAATAACACAAGCACAAGCGGTTACATTTAATTTAGAAAAATATTCTGCATGAGATCAATTATCACTAAAGTCGTCAATAATCAATCTCGGTCGTTACTGAAATTAGCATGACTTGTAGCACAAATTATTATCTAATATAGCAAATAATTATATCAAATAAATAACTAGTAGGCCTTCCTAGCAATTAATTGATACAACTATTAAAATAATTTAGAAGAATATTTGATACTCAAATGCATAAAAATTATATAACAAAAATAAATAAATAATCTCACAGCATAATCAATTTCGGAGTTTCAATTTACTAAATCAAGCTAGAGAAATTAGCCACGCAGACACATTGATAACAACTTTAAAGAAAGAAAAATTAAGATAATCTAGAGGAAGAAGAATTGACGTCTCACAATAGAAAACCTTCACTATTTATACTATTTATCCATAAAGTTTATCTCTATATATATTAAAGCAAAACAATAGGAGCAAAAAAATCCCGCCCAAACCGAACGTCGACGTTTTGGACTAAGCCGCTAAATTTATTGTTTTTGCTTCGGAAAACCAAAGGTCTACGCAGTATAATGCCTAAAGTATATAGGAAACCTAATTTTTTCAAAACGTCCAATGGGATTAGAGACTGTATTTAAGGCAATCAGTTTTTCATATGGGACATTGAGCCCACGAACCTATACCTATTCTCTAGGTATTTATTGATGAGGATGATGATGATCAATAACGAAAGGTCATCAGACCTTATATATACAACACATATACAACTACTGAATGCATTCGCAATCTCCCTCTACAACAGCCTCTCTGATTCTTCTTCAATAACGAAAAATGTTTGTCCTTGCTAGCCAGATATCTCTGATGAATACCAGGCAGGCTCTCAGGCTACGGGTGGTGCGAGCATATCAGATTCCTGAGAGAAGTGATCCATCGAAGTTTAGATCAAAAGAGGTTGTTTTTCATGATGAAGAGGTAAGTACTCTTTAAAAATAGATAGACAGTCGTTTTAGTTATACAGTTCGTATTTTTATCCGATATTCAAACAGTTCCTATTTTTGTCCCTATTCCGAGATTTTACAGTCCCTATTTTTGTTATTTACACATACACAGGGGTCCTTCTTGCATGCTCATATACCCAAAGAGTACGTGGAAAAGTACCTTAGCAGTTTTGCTGAAGGTTCAGTATATGCTATAAAAATTTTTTGTGTTATCACCAATTTTTACTCATACAAAACCAGCCCACAGAAGTACATGATAAAATTTAACTATCAGACTATGGTTAAGGATTTAAAGCATGTGAAATTTCCTATGAAAATGTATCGGCTGAAGACCTTTAGAGAGATCAAGTCTAATGAAGGCCTTGATAAGAAAATCTTATTTGGTAATCAGTACTCTCATTCAATCTATGGTTTCTAATTATTTACTATTTTGTCTACTATTCTATATTCTAAAGCATTATTTTGTAGAAGTTATTGGTCGAGTGATTGAAATACACTGCCCACAGGAGAAACTAATCAATGGCAAGAACTCCAGGTTGATTGACTTCACCATTGAAGATACTGAGTACTACTGAATTCCAGTACATATGGTTTATTTTCTATTTTAGAGATTTCTGAGTTTCTAATATATTTTCTAAAAAATTTTAGTGGAATACAACTAATGTGTACTTTGTGGGATGAACACGTAAGCAAGATTGAGGCATTCTACAATTCTACTACACAAGAGCTATTATTGGTGTTGATACAGTTTTGTAGGGCTAGGGTGTGTCTAAAAAGTAAGTAGATTAAATCCTATAACTTCTCCTAACTTATTCACCAATACGCCTTTCTAATGTGTATTATAACATTATTTCCTAAAGGTGGTGATGTCAAGATTTGTAGCTCCTATGATGTAACACAGCTGCTTTTCAACCAAGAATCTCCCCCATTTGAGGAGTTCAGGAAAAGGTACTTGCATTCTTTTTTTTGCAGCTGCAATTTTACATCTAATATGGATTCTGATTTTATGTTATCATTTTACAGTATTAGCCAAGAACAGACTCCAATGCGCAGTATAATTTCCCAGTCAAGTTTTAAGGAATGTAGCTCCTATTCAGTTTCCCTATCTGCTGATATGGAAGTTCGTACTATCAATGACATCTACAGAGACAAGGAGGTAAGACTGTTTTAAGGAATGTAGCTCCTATTCAGTTTCCCTAAGACTGTTAAAACAGCAAATGATTACTTCAACCTAAAGGCTATACCAAACAATTCCTTTAATGTTTAGATTTTATAGATGGCATTATCCACTTAAAAATATACCTCTATGTCTTTACTTTGTTGCAATCCATGTTAGTGTAGAGTTCTGGTATGTTTAACCTGCAATTAATGTACAGCATGAGCTACATAAATAATATCACAACTCTGCAACCCTCTATGGTATACATTAGACCCAACACCTTTAAAATGTTTAGAGGTTATATATAGAGATTCTGCCACTTAATAATATACCTCAATGGAGTTGAGTTTGTTGCAATCCATGTTTTTAATTTGTTCCAATCCATGTTAGTACAAACTTCTGTCAGTTTTAACCTGCAATTAATAACTTGAAAATTTGAATGTAGTATTCAAACATTACAGTTGCAACCCTTGCTGACTATGCAACACCCTTAGAAGTTTTAGAAAGTAAAAGTAATTAAAATAGTTTTAAAACTAAGTAATGCAACACCCTTTGGTAATGAATATATAGAGTTTATTCCAAGTAGGCATGATTAGACCTGATTATCACTTACCAGCCTCTGTCATCTTAAAACTCACTTCAAAGTCCTTTTAAGTGAACTTCCAGGTCCTTTATGCATGTCCATTTAAGTGAACTGCCAGGTCTTTTGAACTGAACTTCCAGGTCCTTTATGCAACATTTGCTTTATAGCATCCTACCTGCAGTTTAACCAAAAAGTTATTGATTACAAATATTAATGGCAGCCACATCGTAGTCAATTTCTAACACATGGATTAAGTTCACAAAGTTCATTATGGACTCAGTGATGAATAGTGAATTAAACCTTGAATTCACCAACTTTAGGATTAGGAAGCCTCCTAAATTAATGTTAGTAGAGGACCGTTGGTGTAGCAGCTTACCTGCAGTGGACAAATAGTGAATTAAAGAGATAACTCATTATATACACCATCTAATTTAGTAACAATGAACACTTATTATTGTTGTTAATCACATTATATTGAGCATTTCTAAGTCTATTAAAACTTATCTTTGAGTCGTGCTTAGTAACTGTTTGGCCAATAGTCTTGACAGCCTCTTTGTTATTAGGAAGACTACCCAAAGAATTAGAGTTGAATACAGATTATGTATATCAGACCTGCAATTGGAGAATTTCAATTCACCGAATTAAATCTTATAAACATCACCTAATGTAAGAACACTGAAAGAATATTATACTCAACCTAAAGAACATTATATTAGAGTATTTGATAAATGTAAAACTTATCTTTTTTGCCCAAGCGTAACAACCTCTTTAGTACAATTCCCATTATGTGCTAAAAATATATCACAGCATCTATTAAGTCTGTGCTCTATTCCACTCAGGGTCATCCAGTTAATAGTTGCTTTTGATGTGAAACCCAAAGCAACTTATTGGCAACAAATTTTAACTCCATGACATTAGAGCACCAAACTGTTTGTTACCTGGAAAACAACATATATTAAACAACATATATAAAAATTTAAGTCCCTGACATTAGGGATAATAAACATTATTAGCATCCAAACAAAGTTGTGAATTCCACTTGGACAATGAAAAAAAAAGTAGTCAGAATATCAATGAGCTAATATATTGATGGCACATTGCATTAAGTAGCTGATCAAAACCTTTTAGTATTCCAAAAGCAATTAGGATTGCCATTTTCCAATGTTGTCTCCAAATATTAATTGACCAGTTTAGACCTATATATTCAACAATTAGATATTATTAACCTCTGTTGAGCACCACAACTACACAAATCCTATACTGGGCAATTCATCTCCCCTAGAGTACATGAGGAAACTTACATCTTCAACCACAATTGGGTCGAAGCACAAGCATCCCAGCAACAACTAAGGTAAATTTATTGACTTCTATCTTTATTATACTATTCGGTCTTAGTTTATACAACTATTATACGATTTTTTTTAACTCTACTAAAAAGACTAAAAACGATCCCAACCAATATTAACGGATTGTACAAAAAATATCGAAACACAAGATTAATCTATCGAAATAAAACTCATTAGATACATTTCCAGGTTACCAAAATCGAGATGCATGTCTACCATATTAAGTTGAGATTTACAAATATAGTATATAAACGAGACTTAGATCTGAAAACTTAGAACAGTTAGGGTTAGAAATCAATACCCAATTTTTGTTGTGATTGTCCACATCGTGTGTTTGAACAGCCGCTTCTCCAAAATGGTTGACCGCCTGATAACATCGCACACATTTCTATTCACCTGGGAGATCCCTAGCTACGCATGCACTCCGGCGAACATTAGGTTCACCAGATTCAACTCTATGCCACGATTGACACTAGGAAATATCCGATTTACTCCTTTGACACTACTATGAACACTCAGAGTGGTAGTAATTTTGAAAGGTTTGGGTGAGTGAATGCTTCACAGTACCATCTTCTTCATCGTCAATCCATAGCCAAGAGATAGGAAACGACCGTCGAGAAACGATTAATACCTTAATCGAGTCTCACAATCGAACCCTAATCCCTTTATCATTTGCAGTTTTAGTGAGAGAAACCACCGTACCTCACCGGCGATGTAGGCTCACAATGGAGCCTTCTAGGAGATTAGTAAAGTGACTCTGCTGCCTACATCACGGTGTGATTGCCAAAACAATCGAATAATAATAATAATAATAATAATAATAATAATAATAATAATAATAATAATAATAATAATTATTATTATTATTATTATTATTATTATTATTATTATTATTATTATTATTATTATTATTATTATTATTATTATAAAATAGTGTTAAAACAACCCAGAAATTGTTAATATATCTTATATATTATTATTAAGAGTTTTTTCCACTTTTGGTCCTATGACTTTAGTGTCTCCGTCAATTTAAGTTCACAAGTTTAATTCCTGACATAAGTAGTGCTTGACTTTGATATTTTTTTTTCACTTTTAGTCCTTTTGGCAATCTAAACGATTACTTTTAATCAGAATCAATAAATTGTCTTTTATATTTAAATTTAAGAGGGGTAAATAAGTCACCATCATCTTGTCTCCAAGAATAGCTTCACTGACAGGCCACAGATCGCCACTTCATCATCTCCTCTCTATGCCTCGAGCGCTAAGAACATTTCCAGGCTACTGGAGGGGTGGATGAGAGCTTCATCCTCGTCTTCTTCGTCCAAGGGGTTGACGGCGACGACCTCCCATGGCGGCGGCCGGGAGGAGGAGGAAGACCAGAACAGCCCGGAGGCGGCGGATTAGCGGGGAGCAACGACAACAATGGGGCGATCTCGAAGGAGGAGTATTTGGATTCTATTCTGATGTTTGGGAGCTTGATGAATGGAATGGAGAGTGAGAGTTGCAGTGGGAATAATAAACAGAACGTGTAGGAAAGTAATGATAATGATAACCCTCCTCCATTAACGTTTCTTGAGAAATGGTTGTTGGATGAAAGTGCAGTGCAGGTGGAAGAAGAAGGAGGAGAGGATCAAGGTGCAGTCATGGAGCTTCCAACAATCTTTTCATGACAATAAAATATGCACTAACCAATAACCCCCAATACACCAATATTATACTTGTTCTTCCTTGAATTTGTCCAGGCCTGGCTGATTGAGAAGAATATTTTGTAGAGGTTTTGTTCACATGTGTGCTTACAGTAAGAGAGGGAGATGAAATACGGGAAGAAGAAGATAATTAAATAGTTTTAATTTTTTTGTTTATTATTTAAGTGATGGTAAAAGACTTATTTACCCCTCTTAAATCTAAATATAAAAGATAATTTAGTGATTCCGATTAAAAGTAGTGCTCAGATGACCAGAAGGACTAAAAGTGGAAAAACATTCAAAGTCACGCACTACATATGTCAGGAATGAAAGTTGTGAACCTAAGTTGACAGAGACACTAAAGTCATATGACAAAAAGTGGAAAAAACTCTTATTATTAATAATCTTAACATTTTTATGTTTATTCTTCTTATAATAATTATTATAATTGTTTGAATAACATTAATCCTCATCATTAATATTATTATACTAATTTGTTATTATTGCGATTTGTTAACATCAAATGTTTATAACATTACACGTTTAAAGGATATTATATTATATAATATTAAGATATATTATATTTGTATAATAAAATAGTATTATTATGAAATAGTAAAGTATTAATATTAGTTTAATATTAATACTTTAATTATAATTAGGAATAGAATCATTCCGTATGTATCCAAAAAATTAGGTACCAAACATATCATGTATGGGTATATATTATTGTTTTTTTCCTTTACAGAGAATGAAAATCGTACTGTCATGGATGCATCGTACATGTCGTCCATTGAATGCAACAACAATACGCACAATCGTACACCCCTACGTGCTGTTTTCCAAAGTTCGTTAAGTACACCTTTAAGTGTTGTGACAAATGGTAAGTGTGTTCTATATGATAGTGAAATTATCTAATTAATTGTTGCTAACCATATTTTGGTTATGAAATTCACAGCTTCGACCGCAATTCGTATGACAATTCGGAATTCGCCTTTGCAAGATTTGGGTAGCAGAATACCATTAAGCAACATATCCAATAGTACGAAATTAAACAATCATTTTTAACGTCTACAAAAAATTTTAAAGATGTGATAATTAACATCCTAACAAGTTTTTTGTACGGCTCTTATATAATTAAAGAAAATATCGCGCGGGTTGACGGGGAACATGAAAAAGCACCTATTACGAAGCGCCACAATCATTTGATCAACTTAAATAGAACCCCAGATTCACAACTAGGTATCAAAATTTCCACTCCATCGATGTATTTATTCCTTATAGCAAACTACACATTCTAATTACGAATTCTGTAGCCATTTATAATTTTATATTGGTTAATAACAATCGTGGTTGTTGAAATGCACAATATCTTCTCTTTTACGGATGACCATAAATACTACACCAACGCAAGAATTGAGTAGCAGCATCCCATTTAGCAACATATCGAATGGTATGAACTTCAACAAATATATTGTAATTATATATATAGTCAAATTTAATATTTATTGTTCTAACGAATCTTATTAAAAAATATGTATTATTAAAGCAAATTGCGGTCAAGTCAATTTGATCCGCAACAATCCACCTAAAGCTGACTGTCCAAGTTTAGGCTTCGACTTAAATCTATCGCTAGAGTCGCAGATAGGTATAAACATATATTCAAGAAGAGGTTTTTAATTGTCACACATTTATAATTATTCATTTAATATATAACCAAATTAATTACAATTGGATATTGTTCTTTTAGGGATGGAAAGTAATTGTTGCATTAAAAATGACAATAATATGAAAAGTGTCCTGGTAGAGCCAGAGAGTGAAACCATCTCGCAGTACCGCAATTTGTTACCAGACTTTCAGGAAGTTGTTGAACCGTTACATGACAATATGCCCTCAGTTAATGGTGAGTTCATATGAAATGTGGCAGGACAAAAACGTATTATATTTGGACTACAGTAAAATACATTATCATGCTAACTAATATATTTTTTTTTTAGATTTTTATTTCGATCTTGGTGATCCAGAGTATCTTTGCGAGCATTGTAATTCAATTTTTTGGTACAATGAAAGGTCAAGCAATTCAAAGTCATGTGAAAGTCCAAAATACTCTGCGTGTTGTGTAAATGGTAAAATAAAGTTGCCATTTATGACAAAGCCTCCTCAAAAGCTGTATGAGCTATTCTTTACATCAAACGATAAAAATAAATGTTTTTTAAAGAATATAAGGTCATATAACAACATGGTTTGCTTTACGTCGATGGGTGAAAAAATAGATAGAACTATTAACAACGGAACATCGCCGCCGATATTCTGTATCAATGGTCAAAATTTTCATCGGATTGGAAGCTTATTACCTTCACATGGCATTCAACCGAAATTTGCCCAATTATACATTCACGATACAGAGAATGAGATAGAAAATCGCTTAAACTCTTTGAGGTATACTCTTTTGTGTTACTGCAATATTTTTGGTATATCATGGCTTAATACAGAGTATATTATATTATTTATTCTTCCTTTTTTAGTGCCGAAAACAATGGTTCTGCGTTGCATAGTGAGGTAGTACATGACATTAAGCAAGTTCTAGATGAACACAATGTGTTGGTTAAGTCATTCCGAATGGCCAAGTCGTTTCTGCAGTCTAATCCTCAAAGTCAAACCAGAATGAGATTAATAGGAAAGAGGACTAAAGATGCCAGGACTTATGCGTTACCAACTACTTCTGAGGTTGCTGCACTCATTGTTGGAGATATAGACCCTTACATGGGTCAACGGGATATTGTTGTCGAGTGTAGGTCTGGAGCACTGAAACGAATAAATGAATTAAACCCGGCCTATTTACCATTGCAATACCCAATCTTATTTCCATACGGGGAGGATGGTTTTCGAGAAGATATACATTTTGCAACACTTGGTACAAAACGAGATTTTTCAAGAAAGAGTGTTTCACAAAGAGAGTACTTCGCGTTCCGTATACACGAAAGTTCAAATGAGATCTCAACAATAATGTATGCCAGAAGGTTATTCCAACAATTCTTGGTTGATGTGTATACTATGGTTGAATCTTCGAGGTTGCTCTATATTAGGTCAAATCAAAAAGCTCTGAGGTGTGAGGCGTACAAAGGTTTGTCTGATGCGTTGACTCGCAGTGAAGTTCAACCCAGCTCTCAAGGGAAAAGAATAATATTACCATCAAGTTTCACTGGAGGAGCAAGATACATGATACAGAACTATCAAGACGCCATGGCAATTTGCAGATTCATAGGTTATCCAAATCTGTTTATTATTTTTACATGTAATCCTAAATGGCCCGAGATACAACGATTCTTGGAGAAAAGAAACTTGAAAGCTGAAGATCGTCCCGACATTGTCTGCCGTGTTTTCAAACTGAAGCTAGACTATTTAATTAAAGAAATAAAGAATGAAAAACTATTTGGTCGTGTAAAGGCAGGTGCGTACTGCATGAGCTTATAATTGTCATTTTTTAGAATAATAATTATTGTTATTATAATACTTCTATCTTACAATATGAATGCTTTTCTGATAGTAATATACACAATTGAATTTCAAAAACGTGGTCTTCCGCATACCCACATATTGCTGTTCCTACAAGCGACCAACGACTTTGCCAACCTGGTTTTTATGGACACGATCGTTTCAGCCGAGATTCCCGACAAGCATTCAGACATTGAGTATTACAAAGTTGTCGAAGAATTCATGCTGCACGGCCCATGCGGTGCTGCAAGGACTAAATCCCCGTGCATGGCAAATGGCAAGTGTTCAAAGCATTTTCCAAAAAGATACATTGATGCATCACATTTTGACCAAGATGGTTACCCGTGGTATCGAAGAAGGGATGATAAGAGGACAATAAAAAAGAATGGAATAGAGTTGGATAATAGATATGTTGTACCACATAATCGGTACTTGCTTTTGAAATACAAATCTCACATTAATGTAGAGTGGTGTAACCAATCTAGGTCAATCAAGTACCTCTTCAAGTACGTAAACAAGGGCAACGACCGTGTAACTGCTGAGTTTTATAAGACTTCGATGGATGAAGCGGGTAATGAGATTGTGGATGAGATAAACATGTACTATGATTGCAGATATGTATCTGCATGCGAAGCAGCATGGAGATTGTTTAGTTTTGAAGTCCAGTATAGGACTCCCCCAGTTGAGCGATTAATCTTCCACTTGCCGGATTGCCAATCAGTTGTTTTCCAAGACGATGATAGTATTGATAATGTACACAATAGAGAAACCGTTGGTCAAAGTATGTTTAATGCATGGTTTTTAGCCAACCAGAATTTCAAAGAAGCGAGTTTGTTGACTTACATTGAGATGCCTACCAAATTTGTTTGGAAAAAAGACATTCGTGAATGGCATCCAAGAAAGACCAATAGATCCTCAATTGGTCGAATATTCTATGTACCTCCAGCTTCAGGTGAAATATATTATTTGAGATGTCTATTGAACATAGTCCGTGGACCAAAAAGTTTCAAAGATATTAGGACAATTAACGGTGTTGAGTACTTGACCTTTAGAGATGCATGTTATGCGCATGGATTGCTAGATGACAATAAAGAGTACGTTGATGCTATAAATGAGGCAAGCTACTGGTCAACTGCACATTCATTGAGGAAGCTATTTGTTGTTTTACTAACATCATCCTCAATTATTAGACCCGAAAATGTTTGGAATCAAGTTTGGCAACATCTGTGTGAAGATGCTCAACACTATCAAAGAAGAATATTAAAACAACAAGGTAAAATAACTTTTTTTTTACAATATACTTTTCAACAATTTTGTTATGTTATAAGTATAACAATTTGGATGTTGCTATTGTAACAGATTTGGTCTTAACAGAGGAAGAGAAAAAGAACTTTGGATTATTGGAATTGGAAAACCTGTTGGGGCAACAGAACAAGTCTTTAAAAGACTTTCCTTCGATGCCCACACCAAGTACTGATAATACAAGTTTGTTTCAAAATCGATTGGTTTTTGAAGAACTGAATTACAATTCGGAACAATTGAAGGCAGATTCTGAACTGATGTGTGCCAAACTAACAGAAGAACAGAGGCTCATTTTTGATACTGTTATGCAAGATATTGCAACCAATAAAGGTGGATTATTTTTTGTATATGGATACGGTGGGAAAGGAAAGACTTTTTTATGGAGAGCGTTATCCGCTTCAGTCCGATGCAAAGGCCAGATCGTTTTAAATGTTGCATCAAGTGGCATAGCTTCTTTGTTGTTACCAGGTGGCCGAACAGCTCACTCGAGATTTGCAATACCTATTGCAATAAATGAGGACTCTACATGTAACATTAAACAAGGTAGCGACTTGGCTGAATTGTTGATAAAAACGAGTTTGATCATTTGGGATGAAGCTCCAATGATGCACAAACATTGCTTTGAAGCGTTAGATCGAACCATGCGAGATTTATTGCGCTTTGTTGACCCTAACAGTGAAATGAAGGCGTTTGGTGGTAAAACAGTGGTACTCGGTGGAGATTTCCGCCAAATTCTGCCAGTAGTTCCAAAAGGTACACGTCAAGACATTGTTTCGTCCGCTATAAATGCATCATATTTATGGGATAGTTGCAAAGTTTTGAGATTGACGAAAAACCTAAGGCTAAGTTCGGCTAACAATGGTGTGAACCGTCAGGCATTAACAGAGTTTGCTAACTGGATTGCCAATATCGGCGATGGGAAGCTGGGTGGCAGGAATGACGGATTCGCAGAAGTCCAAATACCGAACCACATGTTAGTATCATCCGGGGGCGACGACATTAAAGCAATTGTGGAAAGTACATTTCCAATGTTTGCAGTTGGAAACACTGACCCCGAGCATCTGATAGGTCGTGCTATACTTGCACCAACGCTGGACGTTGTCAACGCAGTAAATGAATATATGACTGAGCTGCATGATGCCGAAAATAGGATCTACTATAGTTCAGACGCAGTATGCAAAGCCGACGGTGATAATGGTATACTTGGAGATGTACACACCCCGGAATTCCTAAACAGCATTCGTGTGTCGGGTCTACCAAATCATACACTGAATTTGAAAATTGGCTCACCAGTAATGTTAATGAGAAATATTGACCATTCTCTTGGGTTGTGCAATGGAACTCGGTTGATAATCACAAAGTTAGCAGACCATGTTATTGAAGGTGAGCTTCTCACTGGCCCCAACAAAGGTACAAAAGTGTTAATACCCCGAATGTCAATGTCATCCTCGGATCCAAGATTGTCGTTCAAGTTTCAACGAAGGCAATTCCCATTGATGCTCTCATATGCGATGACCATAAACAAAAGTCAAGGCCAAACGTTGAGTCATGTAGGGTTAATACTAAAGAAACCGGTTTTTGTACACGGTCAGTTGTACGTAGCTGCATCTCGGGTTAATAATCCAGACGGTTTGAAAATATTGATTGTAAAAGACTCAAGTGCAACTACTACATCAACCACTAATGTTGTATATCATGAAGTTTTCAATAATTTGTAATTTTGTAATGTATTGTTTTTATATTACCAACACCTTGCAACTATTAGTAAGACACAATTTTCCTACGTTTTGGCACTGTATTCCCCAATATATCACACAAATCTTAACATAAAATACACATAACTAAAAATGTTTAAATAACATCCCATGCATCGCACGGGTCAAATACTAGTAGTTATTGAATACAAAGTATTACATACATTTATTAAATTAAATACAAAAAAATACCATAGCCATGAGAAAATGCTCCCAATAACAGAGTCACCCAAAATCGGACAACCGTCACCGATAGTTCAAGACCTCCTTGAACACAGCACAAAGAAGTCTAAATGCCACGGCTCTCCGACGCAGCTTCCGGATATCAGCCACCTACCGGAGGTCGTTTCAGAAACACTCTTATCACCAACAAATGAGAACCCCATCACGGGCGCCAACTCACCACCCTCTGCTAATTACAAAATGAGTATGCGAGATTTCATGCAATATAGGGAAGATTATATAGGAACAGAAGACGAGATTGTGTCCGATGACGAGGCGATAGAGGATCAAGAAGAGCCAGATTGCCCTAGGATGAAGGAAGAAAAAGCAAGAATCAGGCTCCCTTGACGACGCACTCTCATATTACGTTTACTCGGCAAGACAATAGGCCACAACTTTCTTCTTCGTCGCTTGCAATCGTTATGGAAACCAGAAAACCATATGGAGCTTATTGATTTGGATCAACATTATTTCCTCGCAAGATTTGAGTCTCAGCGTGATTACGACAACGCTAGATTTGAAGGCCCATGGATGATTCTAGATCACTAATTAATCGTTCAAGAATGGTCGCCAAATTTCGATCCCCACACGGACAAGACGGAGAAAATCCTGGCCAGGGTTCGACTACCTTCCCTTCCAATCGAGTATTTCGACGAAGACATCTTGATGAAGATACGAAACAAGATCGGCCGATCGATCAAAGTGGATGATACAACCAGTCTGGTATCAAGAGAAAAATTCGCAAGAATTTGCGTGGAAGTAGATATTACCAAACCGCTACTAGCTATGTTCAAATTTGCCCCTGTTGAGGAGGGAATTCATCTAGTTTGTTTTAAGTGTGGTGTGTATGGACACAGACAAGAAGAATGTGGTCAAGAAGCGGGAATACCCAAACCACCTGACACCAGCCGAATGGAAGAGGATAACGAGATGGAACCAGTTGGAAATATGTCCTACGAATTGGCACTGCTCAAGAAAGCCGTCGACATGAAAGTGCCAACTAAGGAAAAAATTGGGTAATGGATGCTGGTAACAAGGAAAGAACGGAGAGCTCCAAGAAAATTTGACAACGAGAACAACCAAAATAGACAACCGGCATGAGCAAAACGACAATCTACAACAACCAGCTGTATAACTCCCGTTTTTCTCCTCTGGGTGACCTGGAAAATGAACACCAAGTTGGGGAGACGGCCTTCAAACCCAGGTCTCAAGGACAAATGGCTGGAGAACCCTCGATGGAAAATGTTTCTGGCTGCGATCCCAATGAGGAACCAGAAACATTGTTCCCACTTATGCAACATCCTAGAGGCATCCGGACAACTCAGAACGTACATTAATTACAAGAGAAGAGGAGGCAGACTAAATACTCTACGGAAAGTAGCAACTGAAGAGGAACACATCAAGAACCGTAGTGCATCATCGACCTAAAGACCCGGACCCGACCGTCACCTTTTGTTGATAAATCCCCCATCCTCAACATTCCACCAGGTGATTGAATGGATTTTTTTTACTGTGATACTCCAAAGGATGCAATGGATGAAAATGGTAGAGGCACTAGCCAAATTGGCTTGGTTGCGGACCCCCGCATGCTCAATTGAGCTTTTTCTTTTCTCATAATTTCCTAATGAATTTGCTTGTCTGGAACTTCCAAGGTGCGACATCACAAACATTTTGTCGCACCCTTAACCAGCATCTTTGCGATTACAAACCTGTAATCACTTGTCCCCTTGAACCCAATGTATCCGGAGACCATGCGAATACTATTTGTTTTGAATTGGGGTTCGATGAATGGCTAAGGGTTGAAGCCGTGGGTTTCTTTGGGGGAATCTGGGTATTCTGGAAAGAAAATATTTTGGTGGATGTCCTCCATACCCATCCCCAGTTTATAGTTTTTGAAAATCACTGAAGATAATGCACAAACTTGGAATCTCTCCATAGTTTATGGAAAACCGGATCATGCTATTAGAAGAGAGATGTTTGCAGAACTCTCCCAAGATGTATTAAAATTCCATGGTGCTTAGCTTTCCTCTGGTGACTATAACTCAGTATTGAATAGGGAAGAGATATCGAATAGTGACAGCTTCTCTTCTATTCGCTATGCAGGATTCAACAATTGGATTTTTAGGGAGGGACTGATGGACCTTGGCTACTCCGGGGCAAAATTCACTTGGAGCAGATGGCTGAACTCTTCATCTTTTAGAGGAGCACGACTAGACCGGGCATTGTGTAATGCCGAGTGGAGAATCCAGTTTTCAGAAGCAGAAGTAAATCACATTCCCAAAATAAGTTCAGATCACGCATCCAGAGTTCATACAATTTGTCAAGATGAACTGGAACTCCAAAGAAGATGTCGAACTTCACAAAAAAAAAAATACTAGCAGAGAAGCTACAAAGTTGAAACCAGAACACATTTGGCAATATATTCTATAGAAAAAAGAGATTCTTAGCGAGAATTGAAGGTGTTCAGCGCAGCCTTGCTAATCAGTTCAGGTGAGACTTGATTAAGCTGGACAAAAAAATGTGCAAGGAATTCAAGGAGATCCTTTAATTTTTCAAGAAGAACTATTATGGTTCCAAAGATCTCGCGAAGAATGGATAACATCCGGCGGTCGTAATATTAGATATTACCATGCTGCTACGGCAGCAAAGAAATCTTCTACCAGAATCACTAGGCTCAAAGACGAGCAAGGAAATCGGCTATCAAACGAAGCTTCAGTACTGAATCACATTTGTAACTATTTCGCCCAGCTTTATACAGAGGAAGGCTCGACCTTGAACCAAGCAAGCTGGAATGGACCTTTCCCAACCTACACGGTTCTGACTGGCAGCAAATTAATGAACCTTTTTAGCAGACGAAAATCAGGGAAGCTTTATTTGATATGGCACCTTTCAAAGTGCCTCGGCCAGACGGCTATCATGCAGGATTCTTCCAACAGACTTGGACAACAGCGGGCGAAACCCTCACCAACCTCGCCATGAAGTTTTTTGAAACCGGAACTCTACCTGAAGGCTGCAATGACACGTTGATAGCACTTATTCCCAAAGTTCCAAACCCAAAAAGGTCAAGCAACTTCGACCGATTGGATTGTGCAACATCTCCTATAAAATCATTTCGAAGGCAATGGCAACAAGAATGAATGCTATAATGCAGAAACTGATTGGACAGCATCAGTCAAGTTTCGTTCACGAGAAATAGATCTCGGATAATACCCTTGCATATCAAGAAGTTTTGAACTCCATGAATTCGAAAAGAGGCACAACTGGATTTGATGATTCTAAAGATAAACCTTGAAAGTGCCTACAATAGACTATCTTGGAACTTCATTCATGAAACCTTGCATGAAGTGGGCTTCAACCACACATGGTCTAGGAACATAATGGCTTGCATATCAACATCAAGGCTGGCCATAACTCTAAATGGTAAACACTCAAACTGGTTTAAGCCTAGCAGGGTATCCGTCAAGACGACCCAATCTCACCATTGATTTTTGTCCTATGTATTGAATGACTCAGTCACTTAATCGAAAGCATGGTATCATCTGGGATTGGGAAAGGGATAAAGATTACTAGAAATGGTCCTTGTGTATCCCAATTATTCTTCGCGGATGACATGATCTTATTTGGGGAAGCAACGGTTCAACAAGCGACTATCACCAAGCATTATCTAGACTTATTTTGTAGCCAATCTGGACAACGGGTAAACTTCCAGAAATCCTCCCTCTATTTCTCAAGGAACACACATGCAGACAGTCAGCAAGTCATCACTAAGGTGCTTGGTATCCCTAAAACATAAAACTTGGGCAGATTTTTGGGAGTTCCTTCACTGCATGGCAGGCTCATGAAGGATTCATTTTGATGGCCTAATTAATAGAATCCAGAACAGGCTATCAGGATGGAGAATGAAGACCTTATCATTTACAGGCAGAAAAACACTAGCACAAGCAGTACTATCAGCCATCCCGCTATATACAATGCAGACCTCTCTCCTCCCAGCAGAAGCAGATCCAGGATTTTTTGTGAGTGGGGGCAAAATTCTACTTGACTAATGAATCCTCGAAAGTAAAATTTCTTTTAAAGATTTTTTTCATAACCGAAGCAAAAAAAAAAAAAAAAAAAAAAAAATACTTGTAACTTATAAGCAATGGACTATGCACAAAACATGTATATAAACTCGTAACTTATAAACAATGGACTATGCACAAAACATGTATATCGAAGCAAAAAAAAAAAAAAAAAAATACTTGTAACTTATAAGCAATGGACTATGCACAAAACATGTATATAAACTCGTAACTTATAAACAATGGACTATGCACAAAACATGTATATACAGATAATATGAAAATAACTTAAGACATATAACTCACATTAGTCACATATACATACATATAACTCACATTAGTCACATACATTGCATTGCATATAAACATATTACATACTGGATAGCAGTGGAGCAAAACTTCACAAATAAGTGCTTTAGGATTCGAACTAGTGACCATTCCATATAAAAACAAAAGCCTTGCCATCTAAACTAAGTAAACCTTTGCATACAACTTGGTATATGTTATATATATACAATATCTAAGGGATGGGGGAGTGGGGGCAGATGCCCCCACTGCCCCCATTGTGGCTCCGCCAGTGCCTCCCAGCAGGGGTAGTCAAATCCATTGAGAAGCTGATCCGCGGTTTCTTATGGGGAGGTGCGGAGAGTGAAAGAAAATGCAATTTAGTTGCTTGAAAACAGTCACACGGGACAAGGATCAAGGGGGATTAGGAATTCAGAAACAAGAAGCCATGAATATTTCATTGTTAGCCAAACTGGGTTGGAGGCTGCAGGTGAATGAAAACTGGCTATGGACAAAGATAATGAGAGCCGAATATGCAATACCTAGCACAGACCCCTCCACATGGCAACCAAAGTTGAAGATGTCTAATGCTAGAAAGGAATCCTAAAGGCTGTGCCAACTCTCAATAAGGCCACTAGAAAATTGGTTAGAAATGGCAGAAATACCCTATTCTGGCTAGATTCTTGGGTAGGTCATCGGCCACTAGTGGAGTCAATCTCTATCAGTCTACCACTTCTAGAACTCTATATGCTCATGTCGTAGACTACTGGGATGTAAAGATAGGGTGGAATTAGTCTAAGTTAGGCAATCTGCTACTGTGACACCCCGAAAATCTTTACTTAATTTCCGAACCAATCCTTACGAGTACTTTCTTAATTGGGAATTAATTTCCTCATCCAATGAGCCCAATTTTCCTACTTTAAATAATCCTAGCCTAGTATTTATTCCAAACCCAAATATTCTAAGCCATATTTATATATAAGTATAATTGGGTCCTTCTAAGACTACTAGTATGGGCTTTAATATATACTTTGCATATTTAATCTTTCTAGTCCAAGCTCATGTAAACATTGTTATATCCATGTTCCTTACAATTTCAAAAGCCCACTTTGAATTTCCTTGAATTAAATAAAAGCCCTAGCCCATGTAATGCCTTACTCTTGTGTGATGTTTTTCAGCATTTTAGCTTCTTACCCTAGCAAGACTAAACCTAAACATCTTCCCCTTCTCTCTTGCTCTCCACTCCCTCTTCTCTTCATGAAACCCTAAGATTTCATCTTCATAATTCTTCAAGGGATCCAAGCCAAGACTTCATGTGACACCCCATGAATCCAAACTCTATTTAAGGATTAATTAGATAATTAATCTTAGCTTATTTGGTAATTTATTCTTAAAATCCTGAAAATTCAATAGTCGGAGGACTAGAAATTTACTAGTCAATCCAAGTCAAAGAGTTGTAGCCTAAGCCTTATGAGTTGTTCCCTTGTCTCCTTATTCTTCCAACTTTAGTAAGGGCAAAGAAGTCTTTCTACCTAAAGATTGTGTTCCAAGCTAACCTAGCATCATCCTTTCATTTCATCCACCAACACTCTAAACACAAAACCTCTACCTTCTCTCTAGAAATTTGATAGCTTCATCTCCAAGCCAAATTTTGGGCATCTTAGATTCTACAAGTTGGCCTCCAAGATTCATACTTTCCTAACCTTGAGCATAGGGGAGGGTAAGATCCTTGATCTCTTGGTGTTTTTAGTATCTTTTTAGATGTCTTTTTCTAAAAATAGAATCTTTGTTGTCTTGTGGTGTGTTTATGAAGTTGGTATTGAAGAAGAGCTTTAGGAGAAGCTTTTAAGGGTGAGAAAAGTGAAGTGTTAGGCTACAAAGGTAATCCATGCTTTACAAAACCTATTTTATTACTTATATGATGATTTCTTGGCTTTTACTTGTGATTCTTGTGTTGAAATGTGAGATTTGATGCATTGTCTTGTGGTAATGCATGTTTAGAGCTTGTTATTAGGATTCTTGTATGCCATTGCTTAGCTATTTCTTGGGTTCAAGTCATATTGTTGTATTGTGTGAGATTTTGGGTGTTTTGGACTTGAATTTGGACTTGATGTTGAAAATCCCCGAAGGGATGTTTTGTGGTACAGGGGTGTACCCGCGGGCGAAATGGCGGGCAGTGGCCTACCTACCGCCCCACCCGCGGGGAACTAGCCTTGTGGGTGCATGTACCCACGGGTGGAGGTCCAACCGTGGCCCCACCGCGGGGTACACTGTTGATGTCGTTCGGGGATTTGTTCCCTGTGATCTTTTTGACTCGGTATGATGTTTTGACCTCCCGATGTTGTTTTATTGGGTTATTTGAGTGTCTTCTTGATGTTTCGTATGTCTAGAACGGTATGTTAGGAATCCATGTAGGATTTTGGTGTCTTGAATCGTGCTGTTTCCAACTTTGTGATTCGTTGGACTATGATGAGTCTTGTATGTTCTATGGAACTACTTTTGGTTTACCCGTTGGATAAGCATGCTAGTTTGATGATGAAATGCTAGTGTGTACGGTTTGTTCTTTCCCATTAAGATTGGCAACTTGCGTTGACCATCGTTGGTGTCGGATTGTAATCTTTTCTTGTTGAGTACGGTTTCATATCTTTGTTGTGATCCATTGATTGATTCCGGTGATAAAAATGTGTGTACTTGTGGTACCTTGATTGCACGATTAAGGTTTATGGGGACTTAATCTCCAAGGTACCAATGTGGTTCTTGTGTGACTATCATTGAAATTGGTGGTGTGACCTGAGCGTAGGCTCATATGTTGGAGATTGTGTGAATGAAATGAATGGTACCCTCGTGTACTCATATGTCGGAAACTTTGTTGGAGATTGTTGGAGTGGGGACGATGGCCCCTGGCGGTATAAGGTTGGACTCAGAAGTACAGGGTGGCACTCGGAGGTAATGGTTGGAACTGTAATAAGGCCGGGGGTAGCCATATGGTTGGAACAGGGCATAAGGTTGGAATTGTGTGAATCTTGTGACATGTAGTTGTCACTGTGACATATAGTTGCCAGTGTGTGATTGTGTATTCTTTGTTATGAGTATGTCGTGATGTATTCTACTTTGTGACCAGTAGAATACATCTCGAGTTGTATTTGTTAAAGTTGGTAATCTTGTCTTGTTGTTGTCTTGGGATGTTGATTTCCCTTCTTCCTTTGAGAGTGTGAAAGAGTCTTTGAAGTTGACTTCTCTCTTGACTTTTGAAATGATATATATACTGTATTTCATTTCGAAAATGGTTTTGATTTATACTATCTATATATGCTATTTAACGTGTAATGGTAGGTTACCAGCAATGTTCGCTGACCGGGCGTCGTCCCCTTTCTTTATGTTGCTTTACAAGTCTTGAGTAGCTTTTAGAGTGCGCGCTAGCTGTTGTTAGATAGTGTAGCTCCCTTGACTGTTTTAGATAGAATTTTTGGGCCTATGAGCCATGGAGTGTTATGATCATGACTTATACGTTTGTTTAGATTTTAGCCTGTACACCTATAGATGTATAGGTGTGGCATGACATTCCCCGAATTTTGTCTTTTGCTTCCGCGTTACTTTAATCTCGATGAGTAGACTTTATCTCTTTATTAAGCTTTAAATGTTTTTGAAAATTGTGAAAATCGGGGGTGTTACACTTCAACTTTTTAACACTCAAAGGCTAGAAGTGGTAAGATCTATCCTCCTACACCTTTCCTAGTCAAGATCCCTTCCTCTTCCTTTAAATCCTTCTTCTATCTTGTTGGGTTTTTGGGAGTTTGAAGAAGATCAAGTGGTGGGTGAGTTGCTAGGATGATCTAGAGGAACTTGTGTGTTGCTTGGAGGGGTTTGCTAAGCTAAAGAGGTAACCCATGTCTTACAAAATCTATTTACACTTGCTATTGATGATTTATTGATGCTCTTAAGTGATTCTATGCATTTTCTTGTGTATATGCCTTGTAGAGCTTGTATTTAGGGTTCTCTAATGTTATTTGTTGAGCTATTCTATGTATTCAAGTCCCTTCTTGTTGTTGATGTGAGTTTTGAGGTGTTTGGACTTGAACTTGAGCATTCCAGCATTTTTCCCGAAGTGGGACTTTCGCTCTCAGGTTGGTACTTGTGGGCAGGCTGGCGAGCAGTTTGCCACCCGCCAGTCCACCCGCTGGTATGTGGTTGGAAGTGGCGGGGGGTCCACGGGTGATTGACCACCCGTGGTACCACTCGCTTGTACACGGAGGGGAGTTGGGCGGGTGGTTTGCCACCCACCGAACCCCCCACTGGTACGTTGGTTTTTTGCCTCCGTTTTGTTGATCCATTGTGCACTTGTGTGTCTTGATTGATGTTTCGTAAGTCTAGAACGATGTCTTAAGTACCCGTGATAGGACTTGTGAGTCTTGAATCATGTGTTGTGACCCAACTTTGTGATTCGTTGGATTGATGTGAAGTCTATGATGTTCGTATGAGCCTTTATGATTATCTTGTTGAATTGCATGCTAGCTACGTTGTTCGTTGGTACTAGTATGTGCTTTCCTCGTAATGATCTTGTCTATTCTTGATGAGGATTGGTGACTTGTGTTTACCAATCGTTGTGGTCTTTTGATTTGGAAGTCTTTCGTTATTGTGGCAATACCTTGGAATGTTTTTCCTTCGTGTTCTTTCTTGATTTCCTTCGATTAAACATATCATTGTGAACTTGTACATTCGTTGTACTCTATCCTTTTTTATTCTTGATTAAGCTATTGTTGAGCTTATCCGTTGTTGTACACACTTCGTGTGGAATCTATGTTTTGCTTTGTCTCTCTAGATTCCTTATGTGTTGATTCTTGTTGTGATGGGATGATTGAGCTAGTAAAGTGGACAGTGTGGGGACTTATGTGTTACTGATATGTGTGGCGAGCCTTTAGCTCTGTTTGCAATGAGTCATGTTGGTGTGGGAAGCCCTTGACAGGTCGGTGGTGTGGAAAGCCCCGATCAACCATTGTGAACTGATCCGGTAGTGAGGAAAGCTCCGGGTTGCCGTTTGGATATTTATGTTTTGTGGGCAACTTGGTAGAAACTTATCCCGGTTGCTAGAGATAGTAGCTAAGCCGTTGGGCTTGGAATCCCAATAGGGGTGTATACACTTAAAGTTGCTAGATCTGTTTCCATTGGACTATGATCTGAGTCGTTGTGATGACTCCGCGGTATGTGATTGATAGCCTGGAGCCCTCCACACTGATCCACTATGATAAGTGCTAAATATGATATGTTTTATAGGGTATTTAATAAGCTAATT